TATACAGAGCGTCAATCACGCTTTAGTCTTCGTTTGTTCGACTGACAGCGCGTTTGTCAATGATGCCGTATTGTGTAGTAAAAGTCGATGAGTAAAACCTTGTAAAAATTTCTCGACTAAAGTGAAAAAACAGGATGGTATATCATATTTTCAGTAAGTACTACATTGTGTTATCACAGTTATCATTTAAAAGTGTTATTTTATGCAGTAGTATATAGAGTATTTAGTTTATATTTAAATTAATCGTAAATATAATTTACAAAAGCAATCAAAATAATCAAATAGCTAACTGTCTCTTTCCGACTCATTGCTTGCGTAAAAGACTGAACGAGACTCGTCACGTCAATTTCAATTGTTTGAAAGACAAGCGTTTGAAAGATTTAGAACAAAAATTTCATAGTCGTTTGATGTTAATGTTATTATTAAAATATTTTTTAATACATGTTAGTAATACTTTCAAATATTGTTGTACTCTTTCTACGGCTCGGGGTTACGAATCAGAAGACCGAAAATACATTTGCCCGAAATAACGTTTGCATGAATTTCCATAATCCCGAAAATATTTTTTTAGGTTTATCGGGAGAAATATGTGTATGGCCTACATTTATTTCTCTCGTGAGTTTGGTGTAATTTGTGGTTGTCTATATGTGTGTCCATGGCACCCGCGACACAGGCTTTCCCTAATGCGGGGCAATGTTGAGTGTGTGCGTTATTATAATAATTGTTATTAATTAATACCTAAGTGTTTATTTTGGAAAGCGTTTCGTTATCGCGCATTTTAATTTTGTATTTATCTCACAACGGCAAATACCCTACTACCGTCAAAGCCGTACTTTTTCATGAACAAGAAACATTTGCAAGAACTATGAGCAGTACGACTATGCCTGTTGCCGGAATCAACCGTCGTCAGTGATAAACCGTAATAATTATATTGAATCAATGTAAGCACTACGGCATATAGAAAAGTGGTGACGTTTTTGAGCGCAGTATAATTTCAGTACTATGCACGAACGGGTTAAGAAAATGGTCAGAAAAGAAAGGAAACCAGAGCTGATGCAAGCTTGATAAAAGACCATTACATTAAAGTTTTGGTATGTGATTACATCAATGAGTGGACTGTGCATAGAAAGGAGAGAATACAGGAATTTATCCAGTAAACATAGCTTGAACTTAAGGAGAAAGTGACAAGTATTAACAGAGAACATTTTACACCGCCAAAATGCATTAAAAATCAAAAGTTGGATGAATGACAAAATATACCAACTTAAGAAACAAAGAAGGTAATTCAAGCAGACTGACACTACATATTAAATAGGATTTTTTTTAAAGTTTAAGCAATTTGTAGCTTTCACATGCAAACAATGCATAATAATTTCAACTTTTGTATCTATGGCTCCGTCGTTTTGCGCGACGATTCCGCCAACGTCAGGGTTGAAAGACATGTAGAGCGGTGGTGAGATAGATTGCCGGTTATTAAAATAATTCGGCGGTTATTATTCACATTGACGGTTATATATATATATATATATTTAATGACATTACAAAAATATAATTTGAGGGCTCATGTTATTTTCTTTCTTTTGCAAACATTTTAGGAAGTTTTATTTAGCGGGAAATAAAAAATAAAATCGTTTAGTAAAAGAAAGTTAGGCATCGTTTTCGTTCAGTAACAAACTTTTGACTGGTCAACGTGGAAAATTATCATGGAGGATGGAAAAAGAAATAAAATTATACGAAAGATAATGGGAGCATAAGGGGAGAATGAAGAATATTCATTTTTCAAAATATTAAGAAAGTCTCAAGTTGACTTGGGACATTTTTTTCGTGGTTTTTGTATTAGACCCGTCGTTCATTTATTTGTAAGTCAATGAATATACATAACTAAAAATTAAATAATGTTAATATTGTTACTTTAAAAAAGTTATTCATTCATTCTGTTGACGCGTTTTTATTGCACGCGTCTTGATATTTATGCAATTAATGAAAAAGAACCACAATAGATATAGTCCTATATAACTGTCCTTGTTACACTAAACGACAAATTCTTTGAACGCAAACTCCATTTTGTATCAAACGAAATAATATAAATTTGCATTCTTATTTATTTTACTTTCATAGGTTATATTTTTCTATGTAATGTTTTGTATACTTCTGCAATTTTAATCCTGAGCCATTTTTAAATATGGGGTAAAGTCAGTACAGTCAATGATCAACGGTTTTTAAGTTTTGTGAAAAGTGAAGACAAACATTTATGTCGGTGGGCCCGAAAAAAAAAAGTATATTTCGACTCATAAAGATAACGAAATCTGTCAATTTATAGTGCAAATTGCTCAGAACTAAGAGGATAAAACCATTTTATATAAAAAAGGACCCATTTACTACTCAAGCTTTTCGACAAAGAGATCAATTCAGATGCTTACAATTTAGTAGATTGCGTAACAAGTACAGCAGATATAATTAATATGTTATATCCAACTTTTTACAGCACAATGCGGCGAAAAATATATACAAACATGCAATGCCTCTCTGACAAGAATAACTTTACTAAATGTCCGTATATGCCTATTAATATCGAAATCATAGACAAAGAGGGGATAGTGGCATTAAACAAGTCTATAAACATGCCAATAAATAAAGACAAAGGTACCTGTTCTGATTGTGGTGCTACTGTGAAATTAGATTATTACCCAACAACTAACTTATTTATTGAGACATCTGGCGTTGCTAACATCAATATAATGATGTACCGTGCTTCATCAAAATAGGCAAACAAAAATATACTGTCTTGGCTATTATTCAGTATGTACCAGACGGCATTGGACATTTAAGAAGTTGGTGCTATAGGAAAGCTACAAAAAATTGGTGGTGTTACGACAATTTACAGGACTTAACCACATTGCCTTCCACTCAGATATTGCCTCAAAATATAATCTATACAACTTAGTTTGTATTTAAAACAACTCAATTTTCTTTCTAAAAAAGAAAAAAGCCAATTACATAAAACACTAATTTTAAGCTATAACAATTTTTGCATTTGATTTTTTTTTGGAAACAGTAAAAAAAGAAAAATCTCAAACTATTACTTATTTTATGTGAAACACCAAATATCTATGTGTGCATGTGTTATGTACTTGCTGTACATAATTATTATTCTAAGTCTGATTATTCTGTGATTTTTTAGTTTAAGAAATAATATAGATCTGTACTGCTAAATCTGTAATTTTGAGATAGGTACTTAAATATTATTCTTCGTTGTAATAAAAGTCATTAATTCATGCAATGAATTGTTATCAACAGCGACTGTACTCCGCGTCTCGTTCATTTCGCGTAAGCCAGGAGCCCAACACGACTTACACACGCTAATAAATATCATGTCAATCGATAAATCCTAAGATCATTTATATGTTTTTTGCTAATTTTGCTTGCATTGAAAACTAAACATTATTATAACCTTCAAATACCACGTATTTAAAAGAAACACAAAAGCTGTATATTATGCAAAATATGTACATGGGCTCCGAGACTAATACAGGTATAACCTCAAAATAATAAATCGGTTGTATCTTTTTAACAAAGGAGCGACTAATTCTAAAATTTTGCGACTAGGACCGACTAATTCACGACTTTTTCTGGGTGCAATCAGATCTAAGATAGGAGCTATGTTTCTCGAGATTCTAAAATGGTGCCGCCGTAATAAGCTTATTACAGCGTGGACAGTAAAATGCCTTAATAACTTCAAAACGGCGTAACGACTGAATCTAGTTTTTTACGACTAGAACCGACTAAATCACGATTTTCTTTTTAGTGTAAAAAAATAATTACAATGCGATTAAGAGTGAGTTGCTTGTGTTCAAAGCGGGTAGCAATGGCTTTAATAACGTCCCTGAAGTTAAGCTGTGTGGCACTCCTCTTAATAGGGTTACTAAATTTAAGTACCTTGGGCATTGGGTCAGTGAGTCTTTGGAGGATAACACTGACATTGAGAGAGAGCGTAGGGCATTAGCAGTGCGGGGTAATATGTTGGCCCGTAGGTTCGCAAGGTGTACGGACAACGTAAAGGTATCTCTTTTTAAAGCTTACTGCCAGACCTTTTATACCTGCACCCTATGGGTCAACTACACTCAGAAAGCTATCAACTCTATAAGAGTTATATATAACAATATATTCCGGATGTTGTTGCGGCTGCCGCGATGTAGCGCGTCAGGAATGTTCGTCGATGCTCATGTAGACGGATTTGCCGCCATAATGAGAAAAAGAGCGGCATCCTTGATGCGCAGAGTTCGTGGCAGCGGTAATAGCATTGTGGGTATTGTTGCTGGCAGGGTCCAGGGTTCATTTTTTGAACACTGGACTAAATTACATGTATGTCCTAAACCCAGCACGTGTTTATGAATTTGTATTTTCTAACACTAGTATGTAAGTTTTTGTTTGTTAGTTATACTAACCAATATGGATGAAATCTGAATTAAAGTTTTTGAATTTGAATTTGAATTTTGTAATCATATCTAAATTAGGTGTTGTGGTTCTCGAGATTGAGAAACGGTGCCGCTGAAATAAGCTTATCCCAGCGTGGACAGTAAAACACCCTTATAACTCTTGAACGACGGACCGATTAAATCTAGTTTTTTGCGAATAGAACCGACTAAATAGCGACTTTTTTTCTGGCTAGTCTGATTTCATAAACTCGACCTTGGTCACGCTGTAATAAGGCACACCTCCCGAGGCGCCCCACCCCCCGCGGCCGGCGCCGGCCTCACCTCCTGGAACACGTTCTCCGGCTTACGCGCCGAAAGCGAGAGCGTGCGCTCCTGCGTCTGACAGAACTTGGCCGTCTTTTTGTCGAACTTCTTCTTCCCCTCCTGTCAACAATGCGACATCTGTTATCAAGCCCTTGGTGTTGTCCGTTCGGCCGTAATCGCAACGAGACGATTCAATTTCGGCTCCTGAGCCGTTAAATCCGTCTCCCACAGCCGCTGAATACTTACTAAATTATTGGAGTTAGTCTCACTCGTTCAAAGTTCCGTCACGTATTTGCAAAAGCCTTTAAATCGATAGACATTAAAAACGTCGAAGGACTTTCCGTCAAAGTAATTAATTCTATACTTGATTGTATTGCGTCTTAGCATGGTTGATTATGGTTTACCTATGAAGCAAAGCACAGTTATTCCAGTTTTTAAACCAGACCTCATCAATTTCAAGACCTATTAATACTACAAACTCTGTGTAAAATATTTGAAAAAAAATATTGTAAATCAGATGTGTGCACATTTGTACATGTACAGTAATAACTGAATGGCTCCTAAACAATTTGGTTTCACTTTGCGTCGCTACAAATCCAATGCTGGTGTTAAGTTGATGATACATATATTTGATACATGGGAAGACTCATATGATGCTGTTGGTGTTTTCTGTGACCTTTCCGAGGCATTTGATTGTGTGCACCATGACACTCAGGGAAGTTCGCCATTATAATGTATACATATTCGAATAGTAGGGTACAGAGTTTGAGCATTTGATTAATAGGGTCAATGTCAAATCCGCAATGAACATGGGCGTCCCTCAAAGTTCAATTCTAGCTCCATTTTTATTTTTAGCTTATATTAATGAGCCACCAAGCCTCGTGGAGGGGTATAGGACATGAGATAGTATTGTTTGCTGACGATACTTCCTTATTAAAAGACACCAATGTTCCTATGACGATGTGAACAATACTAGGTATATCTAAGGTAGTAGATTGGTTTGCAGTTAATAACCACCAGCTCCTTAATGAGAGAAAAAAAACAAATTGTGTGAAATTTACATTACCCATGTTAGACAGATGGTCATAAGCATTATAGTTAGAAAATATACCTTTGGTGCCAAATTGCAATGGGGTTCAGATAAAAGTAAGCTATCGAAACGGCTCAGCTGTGCAGTGTACGCTATTAAAAAAACGAAAACTTTGACACGTCGAAACGGCTACATTGGTTTACTTTAGCTACTTTTACAAATGGCATTTAGCTTTGGGGTAAGGCCGCCAATATTAATAATATAATCTTTGTCCTGCAAAAACCTGCGGTAGAATAAACAGTTACAGACACACCATTATTACGAGGAATAAAATGAGCTAGCCGTTCTTGACAATCGTTTTCACAAAGTCACCAATTCATTTAAGGGGCAATGTATACCGTCCGCTAAATTGGTAAATCTCGTGCCTTCATTAATGTCAACTTTTGAGTAGCACAAAGGCAGAATGACAAGAAATAATTATACGACAATCTATGACTACACCTTTATTTTAAGTAAAAATTCTATTTTACGCTTTGAACGCCCGACTCTGCGCTTGAAAAACGAAGTTACAAAGATTTCGAATTTAGCAGACGACACGGATAAGATTCCGGTTGATGTTCAAAATTGGCCATTGACGAGGTTTAACTTCGCAGGGGACCTGTCTTATGAATGAGCAATAGAATCGAATCAGTGTGACGATTTCAAGTGTAATTATGAAAGGCATTACCTTGACAGCGCCGATGTGGTCCTTGCGGAACCGCTCCAGCGGCTGAATGATCTGCTCATGCGCGCGGCCCAGCTGCACACAACACAACAAGCATTAGCTCGTCTACTTTTATTTATTTTATGAAAAACCGACAACAAACAGTACTACGGTTGTTAGTACTTCCTTGTACTACTACGTGCTACAGTGTAAAACACTTTACGGATTCTCCTATAAGATGATGTGTAAGAACCGGTAAACTCTCAATGTATCCTTTCCTGTTAATTTTTCATTAGAGAGTACTATCTCCTTGCTACACCTCAACGGGGTATGTTTGTAATATCTGGGTAATACTAGTACTAACATTATTTGCAAAAAATAAGTATAACCAATACCCGCAACGCTCTAAGAGCATGAAAAGTACCATACCATCCCAATATTACGGACTCGAGGGACAACATCGGCGTACGCTGTACACCGGTCGACTTCCGTGTACAGACACGTGGACGCGGCGAGCGGCGAACAGGCGATACACGTGGCGGAAGTGTCTGAAGCGAACTTACGTTTGCACTAACGATGTCGATAAGTAATAAAGTGCCGCCTCGGACGAGGACAGTTACCCCCGTTCACACGGCATTGTACTACGCGTTTTTTTTTTGGCAGTATAAATCTTACCGAATAAACAGTGACGCATACATTAGACGTAAAACCGTTCACACGGTGTTTGTCCTGCAAAAAATGCACCCAGCTCTATACGTTTATCGAATAAGCAACGGACTTGTCACGCAAATCGAATAAACTTTAATGTATTCGGTGTTGAGTGGCGCATAGTATTAAATGCATCTCTTTCACACGGCGCGAAGTCATACGTTTTTTATCGAATAGTCACCGAACAAGCGGCGTCTGTTATTGAAGTATTCGTATTTATTTTTGGTAGCCTCGAATTCTCCACATGTTTAATAAATTGTCAAAACTATCTTCGGTAATCAGAAAGTAATTGAAAATTTTTTTTCATCATATCACGACTTCCGTACAATTTTTAAAATGTCTTTGTACCACAGACCATACAAATACTAGTAATAGACTGATTAGTGGGCAGGGCCCGCGTTACCTAGCTTATGAGCAGACCTTAGATAGTCTAAGGCTCAATTCACATTGGTGCAGAGTCGAAGTGTCGCGTCGCGTCCTGTTTTTCAACTATATCGCCTGGCGACGCGCGACGACGCTCGCGTCAGTACGCCGGGATAACAGTGTGGTTGGCGGTCCATATTTGCAAAATACAAATTTGTACCTTAATAATGGGAAAATAGAGATGAATATACTATAGGCGAAAAACATGACGAGTCGCGACGCTTCGACTCTGCGCCAGTGTGAGTTGAGCCTAAGGACCAGACGCTCTCCCATGAGTGTTAACAGCGCGTCAGTTGTTGTTCAAGTATACAAAAAGATTGTTTTGTGGAAAAAAATAGAAATATTATGCCATTAATATCATGTCGCGTAAGAAGGCAAAGTTTAAAAAATACTCCGGGAGTGAACTCTGTATTTCCTAATATTTTTAACCGACTTCAAAAAAGGAGGAGGTTCTCAATTCGACTGTATGTTCTTTTTTTTTTGTATGTATGTTACGCGATAACTCCGGTATTTGTGAACCGATTTTCATGATTCTTTTTTTGTTGGAATTCTCATTTTGAAGAAAATCATCCACCTCAAAGGGTTGTTCACGCATGAAGATTCATTTTTATAAATAGCGCCTAACTTTAATTTAGGAGCAATTACTTTTAGCAATTATTTAGTTGATTTTGCTATTTCACCAATTCAAGGCGTTTTTCCCTCGATATACTTTGAGTAGTGTCGTAGTGAGAACCTATTTTTATTATCTCCAGTATCAAGTCCTGTATAGTGGCGAACTAGGGGATATTTCAATGAAACTTAGCAAATAGATGTAATTCCACGTACTTTTGAGGTCGGTTTTTTTAGTACTCTGTACTGATTAACAATACAATATTAATATTTCGAAGCAAGAGTATATTGTGGCAATCCGGTAATAACAATATACATCGGTTGCTAGCCATCGCCGCCGTCAAAAGAACAATTCGAATGACGCTCAATGAAATGCTTGCACTACCGACGTACTCCATTTGGTAATGGGACCGCGTGTTGTATTCAAATTATTAATAAGTAGAAACTCTGTATTTAAAAACCCATTTTTGGTTTAGTTAAACATTTAATTTATGTAGCGGTACCTACCTACCAATGTGTAAACATAAATTGTTTACAGGTATTTGAAAGCTAAGCATTTTAATTACTTAAATGTTTTGGTCCCGATTCTCACAATAGTTTCATTTTTTTTATTTTCTTAAAAGTAAAAGCAATATATTAATTGAAAAAAAATTAGGAGAGGTAGAGTATCGATAATTTTACCATGCACTTACGTGCATTACGCTCGTGGAGTATCAAATAAGACTTTACGAGAATGGACATTGTTTTTCCCTCGTCTACATGATTCCTATCTCCCTACTTGCTTATTATGCGTAACTATCTCCGCTTGAGTTCTTAGTTTTATCCCTGTGATGCCTGGCATGACTCACATTTCCAGTTTTGTATTGATTTTTTTAGTTTCCCGTCGGATCCTTTTCAAAGGGGAAATAGGCTGAAGCAGTTAGAACAAGCTGGGACCAATTGCATTTTATGACATCACATGATATACCTATGAATAACAACAGAAAAATTCTAAAAGCATGAGCAATTCCCACGCAAGAAATAAATCATTTGGTTAATTAGGTAATATGTGACATGAAACTTTATAGACCACAACTAAATGTCAAAGCATTTCTGAAGCATTATCAGTTATTTTTCGTGAAGTTGTCTTGAAACAAAAGATTCTCTTCTTCGCCTTCGGAAATAAGTATCTTCATTTTCTTGACAAGCTCGTCGACGCTGTACGTGTTATCATGTTGTCAATCCAGAAAGACGTAATTGTTGAACAAATCATCATCAACATCATATCAGCCGGAAGACGTCCACTGCTGAACATAAAGATTGCCAGACCAGCCGATCGGACGCAACGTGCATCGGTTACCCGCCGCCCTTACCAGATCATCCATCCATCTAGCAGGGGGCCGTCCCACTGAACGCCTTCCGGTTCGTGGTCTCCATTCAAGAACCTTTCTGCCCCAACGGCCGTCAGTTCTACGAGCTATGTGCCCTACCCACTGCCACTTCAACTTGCTAATCCTTCGAGCTATGTCGGTGAGTTTCGTTCTTCTACAGATCTCCTCATTTCTGATTCGATCACGTACAGAAATGCCGAGCATTGCTCGCTCCACAGCTCGCTGAGTGACTGAGCGTTTTCATGAGGCCCATAGTAAGTGACCACGTCTCTGAGCCGTAGGTCATCCCTAGCAACACGCACTGTTTGAAGACTTTTGTCTTCAAGGACTGCGGCATTGCGGACGAGAAGACGTCTCGGAGCTTCCCGAAAGCTGCCCAACCGAGTTGGATTCGACGATTGACCTCTTTCTCGAAGTTAGCCCTGCCTAACAAATATATCGTATTATGTTGAACAAATATATCATATTATCTCAGGGAGAATAAAGATTTTTGTTATGTGTTTTAATATACAATCCAAATTGTAATTAAAGTACGATGACAGTACAATAAATCATTACTGTAATTGTAGCGTGTAGCTACGTATACGCACACGCCTGCGTAGCTAGTATCAATTAATATTTGTGTGTAGTAAAACCTTATGCGTATTTGGTAACAAATGTGTGCGTGTAAAAGTCAGCTACGCTAGTTCTCGAAGAAGTTGCTTTAAATGCCGTTTCCATATACTCCGTGGTTAACCCTAATTATAACAAGTATAAAGCAATGCCTAGTTCAATATTCCACTAGTTATGAAACAAAATGTCGATATCAATTAAATGCCACATCCCACATTTTGACCCCAGAAGTTGACGTTCATACGATTCTTAGCTTTATGTGACTAGTAATAATAAAACCTTATTGGATCCAAATAAGGTTTATTTTTTTTAACAAAACTTTTTTATTATTATCGAATTTCGTTTCAAAATTTTCAACCAATCAAAATTATATGATCTTAGTACTAATGTAAGATTACGTTGTGAAATGTGTGCATGTGGCGACACCGGTTTTAATATGGGTTGATGGCGTTTCCACTCTTTTCTTTCTTCCGTGGTTTGTACGCACAGTTTCTTGATACATTGGATGTACCCAATACTTGTGCTCTTCCGGCGGCAAAAAGCCGTTGGCGTCTTCTATGCCAATATAAATTTGCAACAAAGCGTGGATCCATCACAGACGTGTTCTCAGGGCGATTGCGATACGTTTTTTAAACGCATGAAAATATATCGTGCGAACACCCCGCTGCTATCCGTTTAAAATCGAAAACGTGCGGGACAAGGCCGTGTGAACGAAGCCTTAGGGCGCATTTGTTCGACACGAATTTCATCGCGCGCACCGCGCAGACGTCGCGCGGTCGCCGTCGGCAGTCGCGCGGTCGCCGAGCGGAGGCCGCGTTGCCGCCGCGCAGCGACCGCGCGAATCTAACTGTCATGGCAAAACACTCTCTATTTATTTAGCCTGTACAACCGCGCGGTTGTATTAATCAGAGGAATCTAAATGTAGTTGCCTAGTAAATAGAATTCAGATTCGCCATTAATGTACATGAAGGCGTGGCAACTGGGCGCTTACGCAACCGTTGCGCCCTCCGCACATGGTCCGCACCTCGTTAATATTCCCGAGCCGCGACCGCCTCGCCCGCTGGACTCGCTCGAAAGCAAAAGTGCCTCCTTCACCAATAACATACATAACACGAGAAAGTGTTCCGCGGAAGGTCACGCTCGATAGAAACGGAAAACGTAAACAAACGGCAATTGTGTAATATGTCTCAAGGCGTCGTATGCACCATCTGTTGAATAGATTGATTGATTGATTGATTCGGTCGCTGATGGCAGTGGATGTCGCAGCTCAACACGCTCGAACGCGACGCAAGTGTCGTACGAAAAGCTGGCGAAGTAAGCGAACAGTAAGCTAGAGTAAAAATGCAAGTAAAAAGTAAAACCTGATTACGACAAAAACTGCGTACACTAAATAGTTTGTGACAGGAGCGAAACCCTAATATAATAGGCGCCTCGATTTACGCTATGGCCTAGGCCATGGCCATTACGCTTGTGGATCCAGTTGAGAGGCTTCCGACTACGATTCGTTATCTGTAAAACATTATAACGTAAATGAGTCAAAAGTCAATCACATGTATTGTTTTTGTTCAATACTTTTTGGTGTCGCAATTTAAAAATTGCGTCTTTAAAGCCATGCCCAGCAATAGGATTTACATAGGTTAGGAATGATGGTGATGACGAAGAACCGTTTTTGTCTATAGCACTTAATAATAAGCCGCAGGGCTTACTAGTCGAGGACCTCTTCTTCTTCTTCAAGAATCGAAACGTGAGGCCAAACTAAATTTTAAAGAAATTTGCTGTATAACAAATAGCGAACTATCACAACAAAACTCATTTGTTGAAAACAAACTATACAGTTTGGGCTCTGTCACTCACCACCGCAAATTAACGTGAAACAACATTATCTACATGGATACTGTTCTTTACGTAATATCGTCTAAGTAACGTCGTCGCACTGTTAAACTATAGTGTAAGTATGTACTATTTAATATCAGATAGCGATAAGGATAATTGTGACAAAAATATAGTGAATTTAAATAGCTGCTCAGTAGTTTTGTCCTTTTGTTGATGGCGTTGTTTGTTCTTAAAACCCCCGTTCATAACTCCCGTTTTGGCTTCACAATAGTTGGTAAAAACAAGCTTCCCATTCGCGGTAGGTCACGAGCGTTGCAGCAGGCGACCTTGCACGGGCGCGGCCGCGGCGGCGGAGTGCGGGGCGTGAAGGTCGCGCACGTCGATACACTACTATAGATAGATCACGTTAAACCTCGTTGGTTTTAGTCTAACAATTATCAACATCCTGGCACATTTTCGACATAGACATTCTTTATTGGTAAAATTAACATTTACAAGTCATAAAAAATTATAAAAATGCATTCGTATTATTTTTTCATACTATTATTTAACCAATGTGATAAGTTATACATTGATTGCTTCATGAGGCAGTGATTTAAATAAGTTGTCCGAAGCGGAATCAACAACTTCAAGAGGCAGCCGGTTAAATACTGTCGGGCCCAACACATGTATTAATTTGCCCGTTTTGGACAAAACACGCTGTACGGGTGCAACCCTGTTTATTACGTAGCTCATGGTTATGTCCTGCCCCTCGTCTAGTGTAAGTTTCCAGGTGTTCCCTAGTGTAGACAGCCGTTTGGAAAGCCACGAGAGCAGGCAAGGTGAATATGCCATACTGCTCGAAGGCTTATAGGCTTACAGCTGACGTATGCTGTGGCATACGCGCAATCGCCCTCACACCCCGCTTCTGCCAATGTTGCAAGAGCGAGTGCACGGTAGCGGTCATGTAGTAACATGACCTAACCATGGCAGAGTCCACGACTGGCGCTGCAGAGCAAAGCATGCGCCGAGTTTACTGCACAGCACATCAACATAACAGTTCCAGGTCATAGTTTGATCCAGATGAAACCCTAAAAAGTTACTATTGAATAATTGCTTCAATGGGGTTTGTTCTACCATGACGTTCAGACTCCTGTAACTACGACCTGAGAGGTTTATATGTACATAGCAGGTCTTGGTCCTAACCCAAACCAGCTCGATATCTTTAATGCTACCGTGTTCAATTTTTGCTCTAACTCACCGATGGATGATTCGCACACAACCACTGTAACATCATCGGCATACATTAAAACATGGGCATCATTCAATAGCAGAGCCAACAAAACATTAGATACAGAGGAGCCCTGTGGTTTTATAAGTAATCTTTCGTATATGTCTGACATTGTATATTAATTTATTCCATTGTTATTCATTTTACTTCACATTGCCAGTTATTGAATGGCGCGCAAACGAGCACACGGCTCTGGCAGACGCCTGCAAGGAAACCATATAAAGTTCCATCAAACTTGCATATAACAAACGCCACTGCATTCCAGATTCACTTGCATACTACAACCTACATCCCAAATTCATTGCAACGGATGATAACTTGACCGCCGACTTACTAACTAAACCTCTTGTAAAACTTAAGCACTGCAAATGTATAAATTCCGTAGGTTTATGTTAAATTTGGCTTTTGTAGTAGGTTATTGTTAAGGTTGGGTTGTTATGTATGCACAGTAAATGAACACAATAGGGCGCCTCTTTCAATATGTCTTCGTATAGTGTGTTTTTCTTTTGTTATGGTGTTAGTATTACTTTTGTGTACAGTTTACATTGATATGTTTCTTATTCGTATTTATGTATATGTACAGGGTGTTCATACTACAGGAAGGTGTTAAACTTCTTTGGTTTTTAGTCCTTTAATGACAAACATCCTGGCCTATTTTATAAGTGCGTCTGGCTTATTATATAAGTTTTGAATTGCGTCATGATATTAGTGATCTAATGTTTTTAATGAAAATGGCATCAGGTTCAACTGATTGTCCGGAATTATTATCACAAATATCACTTAGAGTTCCCTGTCAATCCTTGAGAAAGAATTCACTTTTGGTTCTACCCCCGGCTCGTACTAATTCTAGGCAAAATGAGTTTATGTGGCGTGCAAGAAATAATTTTAACATTACATTTAACATATGTGCTTCCTTTGATCAGGATCTTTTCAATACGAGTGCGATTTCGGCGAGGAGAGCACTGCGTGGGCATTTCTTTGACTCGTAGTGAGGCTTGCAACTGCGGTTGTAGTGTTGTTGTGGTTTACGTATTAACTTATGTTTATAGCGATAGGTTAGTTAAATTGTGCGTTCTTATATTATGTTTCTATTTGTGAGGAATTATTATTAAGTTAGTTTTAAGTTGTTGGTCTTCCTTTAAGATAAATAAATAAATAAATAAAAGTAATCTTTCGTATGATATTTTTGATATTCTACATTTGTTCTATTGTGATTCTTCTTACTTCATATTGTCACTTATTCAATGTATGTAACCAAAAATACAACTGTGCCTTTTTCTTTGAAGCTCTGCTTATTTAATTGTCCGCGATCACAATGCTACCCCAGCTAACGATGAAGTTGAGACCCCAACTTTATTATCGACGTACCCTGACTTACTTGCATGAATCGTACGGTAGTCGGCCTGCGTTACGCCCTAGAGTGCAAGGATGAAACGGGCCCGGGTGTGGCGGAGGCTCACCATGCGGTCGCGCTCGTCCTCGATGGTGCGTATGAGCGCGGCGAAGTGCGCCAAGCTGCGCCCGATCACGCGCTCGTCCTCGGTCTGCGAGGCGCCGATGCACGCGAACTCGAACTGCTCCATGCTCGCCGCCAGCGCCAGTTGAGCTGCGCCCAGCCCTGTGGACCGCACAACGTGTTCACTCCTCCAATTATGTAACAATTATCAAACCCTCGGTGCCTTATTACTGTTCCAAAATACAATTTTCCAATTCAATTATCAACAAATTTTAAACACATTTCGAAATTGATCTTTCCAATACGAGTTGTGCGCCAGTGATGAATTTATTATCTCGCTCATTTTTTAGTAGTGAAGTACGTTACTAAATGTTGTTTATTTATAATTTATTTATTTGTGAAAACAGGTTGTATAACAGTTGACATGTACAAAATAACTATAGTAGCACTGTGTCCGGCCAAACAATAGCCATGCAAACATATTGAAGACAAGACATAAGATATTATACATTTACTCACGTGCACTTCACTACTAGCCTAAACCAGGTGTAAGCTTTTTTTCATAATATTACGAGTACAAGGGCGCGCACGCATGGATTTAATAAATTAGTCAGTAATCTAAACGTGGTGACAGTTTTATGGGTCAATTTTAATGATAATAGGTAATTGTAAAATGTAAACTAGTGACATCTAAACAATAATTTTAATAACATCAAAATATACAATGCCAAAAATTAGACTTAGAATTAGGGACTTGTCATTTAAAAATTCTGTTTGTAATGTGATAGATAACGCGTACACACTCATAGCCCCGCACTAGTGAATTATATATAAAATTATACATTATAGGGAATTACATAATTGTATCAGGGGGAACTGTTCGGTTGCTATTGTTATTTTGATTTCAATTATGTTGTAGTATAAGCTGATTGTACTCTCTCAGACAAAATAAATAAATAAGAAAGAAAGTTCAATATTCCATATTACGGTCAAAAAAATTGAAAAGCAATCAGTTTTAGAGTTTTAAGAACATGGTCTATGTACATATATACCACAATTTCACTTTCCGAATTAAAATAGCATTTGAGTAATTTTTGAAAAATCCTTTTTTCTTTCTGTTTTATTTTAAAATAAAGTAAATAATTACAAAATACACAAATAATTAATTTAACAAGAAACAATATTTTAAGTAATACGAATGAGATTCAGTAACACATGATTTTCACATAAACCCATTTGAGAAGTGTGTGTTGGGCTGTATTCTCTTCCTGGTCTATATAAATGACCTTCCACCACATGTGGGTTATTTCTGTGTCTCGTTTGCCGATGATATTTACATAGCATTGACAAGTAAAGACACCTACGCGTTACAAAGAGACCTAAACCTCGCATTGGATAATACTAAAAATTAAATAATATAAATAAATTAAAAAAATAAAAAATAAAAAAAATACTACAAAATGGCTGGACATAAATGAGTTGCACATTTTAAAACTGACGAATAGATTATCATCTTTTATATATGCCCTTAGTAAATTAAAACTAGTCACGAATAACAAAACTGCACTTGCAGCTTACTACGCTGGCGCATAAGCACTCTCCTACGGGATCATCCTTTGGGGAAACTGCACAGACGTTCAGGAAGTTTTTGTTCTCCAAAAGAAGTGCATAAGAATATTAGCAAACATAGACCAAGTGACATCTTGTAAAACGATAACTTGCGAATGCATACTTGAAGCTCGTAAATTCACTACAAAGCACTCGACTTGTATTTGCCGCTAAATATAGTAAAACGCAATAATCCTAATCTGTAAAAATTAAAGTGACCTTTTTCAAAAATGGAATTATATGCAACGAGTCCGCACCCAATGTTAATAAAAATATATAACCATCTCCCGAACAGTATAAAATGTACTCAGGATTCCAAAGCTTTTGAAAGACAACTTAAAACTTTTTTAATTTATAAGAGTTATGACAGTACAACAGAATACTTCAATTATATTTTTGATGACCTTTTTTTAAATTATTTAATATGAAATATAAAATATATATCCATTAGTATAGAACTACGAGTTTAAACATAATGACTTCAATTTAATAGCATTATTTTTTATTCAAATTTTTTTGAGAATGTGAATTTAATGTGTAAGTTATATAGTCCAACTAGACACTATTATGTATGTGTGGGATTAATTAATAGTATTGTGTAATGATTTTTATCTTATTTTTAAAATGTGTATAGCGCTACTCTTTATCAAACACCCTTACAGGGTGTCAAATGTCCTGTGATTTTTTATTAACATCTTATTAACGTGTGACTATGCAATAAACGATTTTGAATTTGCATTAGAAAGACGGCACACTAACGAAAAATTCGACGGCCCCACCGAATAAAAGTAACACAACGCAACGCACACACTTATAGCCCGGCCCGGCAAGAGTAAAATTGTATTAGAAAAAGATAAGCAGTATTTTTGTAATGACAATATTTTATTACTTTTAATAATTATTTTTTCAGAATTAGCAAATATTTTGAGAAATTGCTCTTTCTTATTAGAAGAAATCCTTTTTTTCTGCGCATGGACACACACATATGTAGACAACCACAAATTACACCCAAACTCACGAGAGAAATAAATGTAGGTCATACAAATATTTCTCCCGGTCCGGGAATCGAATCCGGGACCTCTGCGTGGCTGTCCGGCATGGTAACTGTTCGGCCACGGAGGCAGTTACGTGTAAACGAAACCTGTTATTTTACAGGCGCGAATAAAAACTAAAAAATTAATATTACTTATTGGTATGGATATACTTAAATACGATGTATGACTAAATTAAAGGTAAAAAAAACATAACATTTTATAATAAAATATGAAACATGACAATATTTACAGAGTTCATCAGAAATTAACAAAAAAACCCTTTTAATTTTTATTGTAGTAAAAATTACTTTGGCGGCTGTTCGTGAGATAAGTTATAGTTCCTTCAAAATGTAACATTACATTGCTCTGTTTTACGTGGAGCGCACTATAACTTTCCGGAATGAATAAGAAAAAATACTATAAATGGTTAGAAATGAATTTTTTAATTTTTTATTGAATGGATATTCAATTATTTTTTTGTGAAATTACTCCAGTAGTTTGTTATTATAATTATAAATACAAAGATCGAACACTCAGAAAAAATTCCTTCGATCCGGTCGGATTCGAACCGACGCCGACGGCGACGTCTTCTTGCACACCGTGCCAGACGCTATACCAACTAAGCCACGGAACGAACCAACGGACCTCAAGAATTTTTCTATGTGCTTGCGTCGTGTCTTTGTATTTGGTTTTTCAACGACTTTTTAGTCGTAGCGCCATCTATGAGAAATCTATGGGTGGTGGTGGATGGGTGGTTGAGTTCTTCAAATCCTGTCTCGGCCAGGGCACGCCTTGCAACACGGGCAGTGTGCACGGACGCATTGTCCTGCAAAAACAGGACGCCTTTCCCCAGTTTGCCTCTCCTTTTCTCGATAACGAAAGCGCAATCAATTCAATGATCTTACATGTAAACGTAAAAAAAGAACTTGATGTCACAATGAAAAGGATCCTTGAAAGTTTGACGCTAATATCCAAGTGGGGATGGTGCTTCCAACCAAAGCCGATATAAACAGAAAATGGAGGGTAAATTACTCAAGTATATATCTTTTATGGTACCGTTGAAGCTGACTGTTAGAGACGATACTGTATAAAACCGTGTTCAGTTTCATATTGTTGACAAGTACAGTTCGCTTTGAAAAGGAAAATGAAGCAGTGGTCATTGATCACAAAAAATAAAATAGATGACAAATAAAGGCTCTTAGTCCCCACAAAGCGCCACAATAATAAGATGAGTCATCATCTTACGATGACGATGATAGATGCTAAAGTCTCTGTACATATCTTTCTGAAGCTAGATGAAACGCATCGTGCTAGTTGTGCTCAGCTAACCCTACGGAAATGAACCGATTAGATACAATTGTATCTAAGACCGTGGCGGCTGGCATATAAGAATTTGGGTTGTCTTAACTACACGCCTGCATTAATTTCATGGAATTACATTTACATATTGTATATCGACTCGATTTCAAGAAGTGGGCTGCAAGATGCACAAGGAAATGTCAGAGGCAAGAAAAAAATATCCAGGACATGTTGGAGGATAAGCTCAATGTTAAAATTTTAAATATTTCTTTTTCAGAAGTTTCTTTTAAACCTGGTAAATGTTCTTAGTGACCATTTTGCAACTATAAGGAAAACATTAGCTTATCGTGTTTCAAGCAGCAGAAATCAGCTAAAAAAGCCAGCAACTCTCCAGTGAACTCATTCCGTTTGATTCCAACGGACCAGTTTGAAATAGAATCTTTAAGAAATTCATTCAAATATGACCGTGCTCCTGGGATAGATAGAATAAGTAATAGTATACTCAAAAACGCGAAAAGTTGCATAGTCTCTACTCTACTAGTTTCTCCACTTAAAATAAAAAATAAAAAGGTGTTTACAAAACATAAGGAACACAATATTTAAAGAATGAATAGAAAAAAAAAACAATTGAGTGATGTGGACAAAAAGGTTAAAAACTCAGAATTGCTGATTTTCAGTCTTCACCTAGCTACCTGTTCTATCTGGAGGAAAAGCGCTTACTAGCGAACAATCATATTATATATATATAATATTTGGATACAGAAGGGGAAGGTCCGCTGAAGATGCTCTTAGAACCCTAGTGGAAAAAGTCTCTTCATTGCTGGATGGTGGAAAGCACTTTATCGTAGTTTTCTTAGGTTTAGCCAAGGCTTCGATACATTGTCGGTTCCAATTCTACTTTCTGAAGTAAGTAGTAAGGCTAGAATAGATAAGTGTGCGCAGTGTTACTCTCGACTGGTTTATGAACTACTTAACAGATGGAAGACAGCAAGCAAAAGTAGGTAACTGGAGTAGCAGTGCAAAGGAAGTGACTTTTGAGATACCGCGGGGTGGCGTCCTAGGACCAACTCTATTTCTTCTCTACCTACACCATCTCTCTATATTAGTCTTAGAAAATGCAGATATCGTTTGCTATGCTGCAGTTATCTTTCATGGAGATACTTGGGAAGAATGTTTTTCGTAATGCAGAAAGAGGTATGGCCAAAATAGGCAAGTGGTTGT